ATGGAGACTCCCTTGACTGTCCAAGATGTACGTCCGAGAAAGGAATACAGTCTCGTGAAGGACTCTGGTTCTACAGAACTGCACTTTTTAAGGGTCCAAGTTGTTACCCTGAACCTGCCACTCCTGGATCAGGTCTTGGCAGCATTGGGTACCCTGCAGTGTTTCAATTATCCAACAAGATGAGCACGGGCGCTGGCTGGCTCAGGTCTTGGCTGGGAAGGCGCGAGGTGGGATCAGGGGAAACACACAGCAGTGCTTTCTCCAGACCCCCGAGCCCACCCTAGTTCGCCAGTATTTTCTACGTCAAGCTATTTCCAGTTTTGGACAGTCTCTGAGAAATGAAGCTTCCCTTGCTTTGGAGAGACCCATCCTCTGGATCTGGACCGCCTAAGGGACTGAGGACCTGGCTCTCTGCCTGTTACTCATCTGCCATAGACCTATGATTCACCCCCTTTACTCCCGTGTCAGACATTAACAAGAGCAATGTATCTGGACGCTCAACCGCCCTCGAGCCCTCTGCCCCCAGACGGTGGGTCGTCGTTGTGCGAGGGTTCGCCTAGTTCATCTCTCTCTTAATACACAGCTTGCCTCTTTCCACGCATTGGCCTGAGATCAAGGTGGGAGTTTTGCGCAGCCCAGGTGTAAAGGTAGCAGGAGTTTCTGGTACCCTCAGATGAAGAGGGTTGTGGGGTTACTGCTGGAGAAGGAACAACTGGGTACAGCAGGGTGTCTGATTTGAAGAAGAGACGTGTTTCACGTGGCCTGAGCGATTCTTGCATCTGATTTGCGTGGGAAGGTGTGAGGACGGCTGAGCGAGCCCGTCGCGTCTGACGACAGCAGGGCTGTCCCTGCTGGCCTCTCCCTTCAGCTCGGGTGCATTTCTAATTTAATTCTTTCTCTTTTTTTTTCTGCAACATTCCTATTAGCACAGGAAGGTTGTTATGCTTTGTGCTTGTATTTTTTTTAAAGCACTCAAATTATTTTCTCTGTTGTTTATTACAGTCACCATAATTAGAAAGAAACACAGAGCCCTTAGTGGGCAAATTTTCTTTAAAGGTGCCTCACAAGGGGTGAAGGAGGCTTTGCACGTGTCCCATAGACTTGGGGAGGGGGGATTGCCCACAAAGGACACTGGGGAGATTCCTCACATATCTGGTCATAAGGCAGTTTCCAAATCCTTCCTCTTCCCTTTTTACGCCTTAGAAGGTCATCCCACAGGAAACACGCTGGATTGATGGATGCTGACGGGGACTTATTTGTGGGAGAAATGAAAGTAACAAACCTCAAAGATTGGGATTCATTCTGGGTATCACACTTAAAGAAACTGGAGGGTGTGGGAGAGGGAGGGAGCTGAAACCACACTGGGAGAGAGGGGAACGAAGTCAGGCAGGAACGGGGAGGGCGCAGGAAGAGCTGGCATCTGTCTGCAAGCACGTGCCAGCCGGTAGGTGGAAGTCCAACGCGCCTTGCTCTGCGCACAGTTCCGGGCGGCAGAATTAGGGTCATCTTGGGGATCGAAAGGTAGACTTGTCTTCTCACAATTGTGGGCTAACAGCCTGACCATAAGATGGGCTGTCTTGTTGGGTGACACTCTGTCAGTAGACCACGGAAGCTGAGAACCGTGAGGCACCATGTGATGGTGCTGGGCGTGGAAGGAGCACGGTTTCCTTCATGTTACTACAGAGCTCGGGGCAGTCGTCGGTCCCCTGGATGGGGACCCAAGTCTGGAACTCTTTAGGCTCACCTTTATTCTGCTGAAAGCAGCAGTTGTAGAGAGTGCTTGGGTTGGTAAAGCCTTGGAGGTGGGGTTGGAGAAAGGACCCAGGAAAAGGGATGTGTGTCAGTGTAACACCTGGCTCCCGGCAGGCACGCCATAGTTATCAGTAGAATTAATACATGAGGAGGCAGGATGGCAAAGTTCTTGACTCTTGGGTTCTGGAACCAGCCACCCTATGTCTGAATCGTGGCTTCCTTCTATGAACGGCCCAACTTGGGATAAACCAGCCAACCTCTCAAAGCCTCAAATTCCTCCACCACCGAAGGAAGATGTGATAACAATACTCATCTCTTTAGGGTGGCCTTAAGGATTAAATGATGGAAGTACTGGTCCAGCCAATCCTTTTCTTTTTTTAACCCCAAGCCCCACAAAATTGCCAGTAAGGATAGGGCAGCTTCTCAGACACATTCACTGGGGATTAGATGTGAGTCTGGAAAAGACGGAGAGAGAAAACTTCCCCCAGTCACACATCACTTCCCCACTTCCTCTCCGCGCTTACCGGAACATCTTCCTCATTGGTTTCGTCACTCCAGGACCATCCAGGCGTATCCACACGTTTCGCAGAGTTTCATTTAAAGGATTGGTGAACTCAACGGTCACAACCATGTCCGAGCCAACCATCTGAGCACCACGGACCTAAGAATTGGGTTGGAAGAAAATGAAACTCGTTAGCAGCATGTGAAACCTCTTTCTACTCCCCTGTGTCCTGAACCATCCTTACTTTTTCTTCTGTTTTACAGAATGGCTTTTTTTTTTTTGGCAATGGGACCAGCGTGATGAGGATAGCTTATTGCTTTGACTGGGGGATACCTAGTAAGAAAAAGATGGAAAATTACTAATTAGAATCACACTCCTTTCCTCATTATAGAAACCACCCTAATTAGAGTTCAGGTTAACAGCGGCGGCCACCAGCAGTTCCTGTCGGCAGGAAGCGGAAGGTGCACTTGGTTTAGCAACAGATCTCCATGGTGAGGGCAGCCAGGCGATCTCTGCTTCTGGAAAGGGCTCAAGTTTCCTGCCAGGACAGGAGGGATTCCTGAGTTCAAGAGGAAGAAAACGCTCCAGGGGGCCTGCGCCTTCTTAAGTTGAGACACTCTAGAAAGAAAGACTTCCCAGGAGGGACTGCTCTCTGCTGAACTGGAGGGAGGGGAATCTGGACGCCGAAACAGACAAAAGGGACTTTTCCTCCGCAGCCACGGCATCGGGGTCCAGGAGGGCCTAAGGCTCTCTGTTGGTGGGTTTATCCATCACAACCATCGGGTATTTGCCAGAGTCACCTGAGGTGCCCAGAGTTCAAGTTCAAGGTCAGCTTCAACACTTTCCAGCAGTGGGGCCCCAGGGGACTTCCTCAACCTTTCTGAGACTCAGTTTTCCTGACTCTGAAACAGGATGGACGTCCCTACAGGGAAATCTGCGAAGAGCGCTGTTGTTATTACGAGTTCCCAGGCTGTGTTCACAGCGTGTCACACGTAGAACCATGTGCTTCCCCAGCGCCAACGCAGTGTGCTGGGACACGGCCCGGGAGCTGGAACGTTTGTATGTTTGTTTAGGGGACTTGTACGCCAAATGGATGGGTCTGCGTGAGCTCTGAGTAGCTTGGGAACAAGATGATGATGATGATAGTTCTTCCCTCAAAGGAAAGGGGTAGGAATGGGTCAGACGCACAGCAGCTGACGCAGCGCACAGCACGTGACAAGGTCATAGCTCATGCTTTTCTGGATTAGTCACACTCAGGGTAGTTAGTTTTATTCACTTTATTTTAGCCCACTTTCAACTCCAGGATCTAGCCAGTGTCCAGTATATATTTGTTACATTAGGCTGACTGCTTGAAAATGCAATTTATTGGTTGGCTGAGTTTCCGATATATCAGTCTAGACATTAAAATACCTTATTTCTTTAAGTAGTGTATAACGTAGGAAAAATCGTGTAGAAATGAGCCTTTCTGATGAGTTAGAGGGAAAGAGGAAAGACACTGCCTAGAGAAGCAGGTTCTTGCTTATTGACTTTAAAGTTAAGACTAAAACCTTATGGCTTTACTCTCTAAGACATATTGATGACTAAATTTATGTCTATGGGATTTAAAAAATCTATAAGAAAAATGAAAATTGCAGCCAGTTCCCTATGTTTATTACTTTCAAATCTCCATCTGCTAAGATGGGATGGGTGGAGAGCTGGGAACAGGGGCCAGGGGTGGAGGCAACATTGATCGTGATGGTGACAACAGCAGGAGTCACCTACAAAGCATGGATTGTGTGCTAAGCAGTGTGTCCTCAGCGGTCCTCAACCTGGCATGCACAGCAAGACCTGTGGTTGGTTCATTTGTGGATGCTGGACACGCGGGTATGGATTTTGGTATCTGTGGGGGTCCTGGAACCAACCCCCGGTGGTTACCGAGGGCCAGCTGCGTGGAAGCACATTATTAGAATAGTTTACATGGAATCTTGGGTTTCATTCGCAAGCGCATCCAACATATTTTTCCTAAGCTGAAAAAAAGAAATTTCAGAACACTTTTGGTTTCTAAAAATACAAGATCAATATAACATTTACAAAAACTGTCTAAATCGGAGAAAGTGGGGCTGCTTCAGAGACACTCCTGGTGAAAGTGTTTGCTATGATCACTTTGATTTTGGAAGAAAAATATTTTGGAGCCATCTGCCGTCCTCATGGCATGCTTTTGCAATTATGGGGACAACCCCTTAAAAAATCTGATAATAGCTAGTGACCCTTCCTCCCACAGACACAAACGGTGGCAAACACAAGATACATACGCTCCTTAAATGGAGTTTTGGGGGGTTCATCACAGACCCGTGATGTCTGCCCATGGCCCTCGAGGGGCTCGGGGGCTCCACGTTAGGGATCCTTTATGTACGAGCAGGCTGGCCCTCCAGGAAGTTACCTGTGCTGTGGGAAGCAAAGTGGGCCCTTTCTGGTCACTGATGCGAGAGACGGGGGAAGTCTAGTATTTGAAAAGCTGGTCCAGGGTCTGGGCCTTCCTATACAGGCCTTAGACCTGAATATGGTCAAGCCTCCTCGGATAATTTCGTGTGCCACGTCTCACCAGTGTGCTTCCGGATACCAGCCGTGTAATTAGCCGCCGGCATGGGTACATAAACACCGCCCAGCCTGCCCCGATGCTGGAGCAGGGAGACGGCGAGAGGAAAGGAGGGCCCTCCTCAGGTCGTGGCGTGTTTCCTCCGCAGCTGACAAAGACTCAGTGTCCTCGTTTTGATATCTGCCTCCCGCACTCGGAATTTAGATGCTGCTCACCTGACTGCCGGGATGACCATGAACCTCGGAACTCAGACCAAACCAAATTAACAAAAGCCTGCCCAACACTCAACACTGTGTTTCCTGCTCAGGGAATTTAAGCAGAGCTGTTTCCTCCCCCTTTTGAGGAAAATGGGGCCTACACAGAGGATTTTCACACTGTGCGTTGATTTAAGTGCTGTGCCAGGCTGGGGTACCTCTGACCATTCGTCCTGTGTGCTGACCTTAGGGACGAGGGGTCATTACTAGTAACATCAAACGCTTTTGTGACCTGATCCCCCCCCCATATTCCGCTTAAAATATTTGTTTTTTAAAAAATTAACATAAAATATGCCGTTTCCTCAAGCTAAACACCATTCACCAGTATCGACATCCTGAGTTCTTGGTTTTCATGCTACTTCATGGTAATGAGCAACCGTTCTGATTCTCTGGTAAACAAGAAAGTTAGTAACACACACGAGCTCTGGGGAAGAAATTCCTTCCTAGGGCATCGCAAGGTCTCTGCCATGGAGTACGTGCTTTACAACGTGCATAACTGTGTTCAAAACCAAAACTGAAATGAAGGAGAAAGTCAAGAAAGAATGAACCTAGTTGGCAGTTCAGGTCACGTGATTTACTAGCTCACCTCCCAGCTCTCACTTCAAATACTGTCAATCACGTATCACGTGTGTTACTGGAAGATGACTTTTTTCCCGCATCCCCAGCCTACGGTCGCCGCTGGCGAGCAGCAGTGGCTTGTCTGTAACCCGGCTCTCCAGCACTGCTGTGGCCCCCACCAGCCCACTGGGGTTAGCTTTCTACTAAATACTGCAAGTGGCTTTACGATCGTCAGGTCGTGTTCTGAGCCTGCACTGCCCAATATGGTAGCCTCCAGCCACATGTGGCTGTTTAAATTCAAATAAATTACATTTAAATTAAATAAAAATTCCGTTCCTTGGTCGTACTGGCCACATTCCAAGGACTCAACATCCACACGTGTCCAGCAGTCATCATGCTGGGCAGTGGGGGCTGAGACATTCCCGGAGGTGTAGGAAGTCCTATCTGATGGGGCCGCTGGGCGATTTGCTAACACTGGCCCACTGAGGCCTCACAGCCCGGTGAGGCAGATGCGAGGAGGGAAGGGGGGCACAGAGGAGTAAAGTGACTTGTTCAGGTTCACACAGATAGCAGGTTGGGAAGTGAGATGTGAGGGCTTAACCATGCGTCTACACTGCGTCTGACCGGTGGCAGCGGTGACAGCGACTCACGTGACTTTTGGTGATTGCTGAGACGTGCGGCACTCTGCTCACCGTTTTCCTGGCATTATCTGGCTGGGTCCTCTCTGGACTTGGGGGCGGGCAGCAACGTTATCGTCGTTCCATTGACGTGAAACTCAAACTTAGACGAAAAACAGAGCCCCCGAGTTACAGGGCCTGTAAGTTGGCAGAACCCAGACATGAATCTAGGGCTTTCTGACTCCAGAACATTCGTCTTTAAACACTACGTACCCTGTCATCTCTGACAGCAGAGAGGCAAAAATAGTAACTTTTTTTTTGTGCTGAAAATAGCTTCTTTATTTCCTGAAATGCACTGAAGAATCATTTGCTGTATCACCTTCTGCTCTCACTAAGCCACCGGTTGAGCACGATGATTATAACTTGACCCCGAACTGAGAAACAACCCAACTCTTTCTTTCTGACTTTATGGGGAAGGAACCGGATTTCTGTGCCAGAGCACAATGCGCAAGGCGCCCTGGGACCTTGCTACATACAGCATGTTACACAGTCACACTGAAGAGAGAGGCGGTGGGACCAGAGCTGTTCTAAATGGCACTTGGAGCGTTCCTTTTCCAGATACGGAGAGGAGTTTCCTCCAGGGACCACACGAGCCCCCTTCTGTCTCCCCTGAGTCTTACCCCAGGCTCTCCAGGCCTGGCCTCCCTCTCAGGAAGCTTCCACAGGCACCGGGGCCCGTGCTCGACACCCAGGAACCAGTGCCGCCAGGTGAGCGGTACCTTCACTTCGGGTCGGGGGGCCACTGCTGCCCTGCCCAGCTCTCAGGGGAGTGACTGCAGGTCCCAGGCCTGGAGAGGACCAGGTGGGGAGGGAGGGAACATTTGGCAGCACGTACTAGAGCCTGGTGGGGGATAAGCATTCTCATATGGGACTTATTTAACCCATAGCAACTTCGTGTTTTATGTATGAGTGTAACTGAAAATGGGAATAGTATTATAATGATTTTGCAAAAGGGGACACTGAAGTTCAGAGAGAGAGGGTGTGAGAGAGAGAGGTAGGGGGGGAACTAGGTGGTGGCTTCACCTGACTGATGGATTCTGGTCTTCATCACATCCTGGCTGTGGTCACGGTACCACGCTTAGCTGTTTATAAGAATTATTTCTATTATCCCTTCCAGCAGCCCAATGAAGTCAGTAATATTACTGGACCCATTTTACATATGAGGTCATTGAGGAATTAGCCCAAAGCAACCCAGGTAGGATTATGAACCAGGAGGTCCGAGTCCACCCATCTGAGCCCCTGTGCTGTGGGGCCTCCCTACAAAAGGCGCCCCTCTGCCCTGCACCCTCTAGTTGACTTGGGCGAGACAGGAAACCGCCCCCGGGAGTGGGAGACGCGCACCAGAACACAGTCCTGACGCCACACACCGCGACGCCCGCAGACCAGTCCCAGCTCCCCCGCTCCTCCCGTCCTCTCCCCAAAATAGCCATTCGTCACAAATCAAAGTGCTGAAGAATCCTTTACTGACTTAAAGCATCTTACAAAAATCAACACATGGGAAGGCAGAGAAAAATTCTAAGTCTGACCTTATTAAAATATATTTTTCTCATCAAAATATTTTGATAGCTTGGAAAAGAGATGTGAGCTCATTAAAGTTTAATGAACGTCTCTCCCTGCCATGCTCCGTACGAGGACCGCGCGCTCTGACTCATGCATGGTGGGGGCCGGGACTAGGCAGTTGGCTGGGAGCACAGTTTAACCCAGTTCGGATCTTCGTTGTCACAGGGACGCGTGCAATCCAAGACGGGCTTGCTCAGGACGTAGCTACGCGCCCGCTGGCCTCGCTGCTTTGGCTGACAGCGACGTGGACTCAGACTGGTGGGTCCCACACTGTCCCAGGTTGGTCTCTATTTGCTCTGGAGCCAGAGCTGGGTGAGGACAGCTGTCAACTAGCCCGCTGGCAGCTCCAGTCCCAGGGCCGAGCTGGGACTCCCAGAGGACAGTGCCTGGGGCAAAGGCTTTGAAGGGAAAGGAGAAAAGAAAGAGGCTCTGACTCCTGGGAGGTCAGAGTCGACATAATGTCACCTTCATGCTCTAGGATCTCCACGGAAGCCCCTTTGTTCACGGAATCAGGTGCGGAGCTGTCATGCAAAACTTGTAGCCTCCCTTCAAAGGGGCCCCCGGCTGCCTTGAGACGACTGTCTTCACTCGTCCCTGCTCCCAGCCTGCACGCCAGCCAAGGCGGGCCTCTGCCTGCTCCCACACCTGCCGTCTCCCTCCCTCCTTGCCTTTGCCTGTCTGTGTTTCTTCTAGAATCTGGAGTGTTCTCTCCGCCCACCTCTACCGGCTGAATGTCATCTCTTCCGAGTCGAAAGCCCTGGGTTAGAAGACTCACTTCTCCCCACGTCAGGCAGGCGATCGCAGGCAGCACCAACAGTGACAACAAACCACGAGCAGCGCAGACGCGGGGTCTGCCGTGAGCTGCGCGCTGGGTGTGCGCTAGCTCGTCGGACGCTCCGGGCAGCTCCGTGGAGTAAGACCTGCCACTGCCCCTCCGACAGCTGGGGACAGACGCTGAGAGGCAGGAAGTGAGGGGCCCAGCGTCACCCAGCTCGGACTGCTTTGGTCTCAGAGCCCGTGTCGGGACCGCTGTGGGCAGGGCACTGCCCTCCCTGGGCCTCTCAGATGTCTCACCTGTGAAGTGGGTACAGTGACCCCCCGCCTCGCAGGGTGGAAACGAGGATTGAACAGGAGCGGGCAGGAGGCGCGGAATAACCTAGAGCTCATCCCTCACGGCTCCGCGTGCCCGTCTCGTCCCCTCCTGCCGGCAGCGTGGGTCCTGCCTCTCACACCCTCTCTCCCTGCGCCTGGCACCTTCCTTACCGTGACCTTGGGAGGGTCTGTAAGCTGTGGGCCCTTCCCAGGCACAAAGAGATGGACCAAGGGTTCTAGCATTTTCCTGGAACTTGAGGCTATGTGTCCAGGGGAGCTGGACCCCTACGCCATGGTCCTTTGGTTTGTGCTTTCACTGCATTTAGCTCCCTCTCCAGCTCCTGGTTTATGCAGTTTATGTGACTCCCCTCCTTGAGGACTGCTGGGTAATATTTCAATGTAGGCTTTCCATCTCCTCCCCTCCCCCTCCCCTCCCCTCCCCCTCCCCCTTTCCTTTCTCTGGGTCCTCTCTCCCTCCCACAGTCGCTCTCAGGATGACTGCGACCTGGACGCTGTGGTTCTGCAACCCATGACTCCAGCAGGCTAAGCAGAGCCCCGGCCAGCCCCCAGCCCATGAGCCAGAGTTTCTGGGACCAGGGTTTCTCACAGTTCAGGGACAGCTGGCTGGCTTCCAGGGTGTGAGGGGACTTACCAGGGACACCTCTTCCCCTGCTTGGATTCAGTTTGTCCTTGGGGTTAATACGGCCAGTGGGGTCAGTGGTTAAGGGACCCTTGCGTGAGAATGCCTCCTGCCTCCTTTGCTGAATATGCCTGGGACCGGCCGGAGGCCAGAATTTCCATCTCTCTCCTCCTGGAGTCCCAGTCCAATGCCCTTCCTTGAAATCAGTTTCCTCTAAGAACAGCGTCCCTAACATCTTCATGGAAATCAAAATTATAACAAAAACAAAAAACCTGCAGGCTTTCTTTTTGGAAGTGCACGCCCGGCTCGTGTCACCTGAGCTGTGGGAGTTGCTGATTTGGGTTCTGCCCTGGGGTAATGAAACTGCAATTTAAGTAAACTTGGGAGGTAACTCACAAACACTCCTTCAATGAATAACGTCCAAAAGCTGCAAGGTCCTGGCCTCCTTTATAGATCGCACTGACCGCCCACAGCTCTGCTCTGCCTTGTACTGTGGCCTGAGCACTCGGCAGCCTGGAAAGGCTCTCTCCCGAGCCCTTCACGGGGACCAGCTGGCCGTTCAGAACTAGGTGAGTGTGCAGGTCTTGCCTCTGGTGGGAAAGGCCCTGAGGTTGAGTTCCTGAGCCAGAGCCGGGAAGGAGGCCTCCCTGGGCTGCTGGGAGAGGCCAGTGGGGCCCCGTGTCCCCAGGAGAGCCCACCACGGGGGCAGCCGCCCTGGCCCCTGCACCAGCGCTTTGTGCTCCTGAGTTCACATTCTCAGGGGACTGACGGCGGCTTGGGGGGAACCCCCATACCACTTCTCTGTCTTGCCTGTGTCCTACTCTGCCTGCAGACCCTGCACTCCCTCATTTTGTTGTCTCTGAAGGCCTCTGGTATGGATGGTGCTGTGATGGGCCCGTGGGAGGTCACTGGGGTGAAAGAACCAAGGAGATGTGGTGATTCAAGACCTTCTAGAAATGGAGGGCCTGGGGTTCTCTTCCTCGAGGGTGCACACTTCCTACGTGTCATCCTAATGTGACTCCCTCAAGTGCCACCCCCACGGCACTGGACCCAAGGAAAGCTGCCATTTTGAATGCCACACATTAGCTATTAGCTTTCCAGACCATTCACAGCAAACGATTCATAGGACGCGAGGCAGACCTCCCCTCCCCCCCACTAAAACTTTGATTAATCCATCACTTCAGAGGAATGCAGCTTAGGCTCTGTGCCAAGCACTCTTAATCACGTGGGAGGGGCTCTGAGCCCCAGGTAAGGCTGACAGAAGGGGTCACACCCCAAGGACCCTGCGGGGGCCTGCGTTTCTGCTCCTAGGGCAGGAGGTGTCTCAGGGATGTGACTGCGGGTGCGCCAGTGCTCCCGAGAAGTGGGAGCAAACGGGCTGCCATCTCTGTCTTCCCTTCCCACCCATCCTCAGCCTCCGCTGCCAAGCTCCTTTGAGCTGTGTGGGCAAAGATTTCCGGTGGTAAATGGAGAGAGACATTAAACCTACCAGCCAATCAGGCAAAAAGGACCCTATGGTCATAGGAGTCAGGAAAGTGGTCACCCCGGGGACGGGGGCGGGGGTGCTTGGCTGGAAACAGTGTGCGGGAACTTTCTGGGCTGTTGGATGTAGGAAATCCTCTGTGCCGGCATCTGGCCGGTGGTTGCCAGGTGTGCCCATACAAGTCACCATCGTGAGCTGACCTGGCAGTTGGCGCAGTCTACCGCGTCCAGCTCCTGGCTCACTAGTACTGTCCAGAGCAGGCGGGAGGGGAGCCGGGTGGCTTCCGCTTGCTGCCACGCCTGGCCCACTTTGCACGGACTTCTAAGCATCTGCGTCCTTACGCACCTTTGTCCTCCTCCACAAGTGTGTTCACACCCACAGGTTGTGTTTGTGTCTGCAGCCACAGCTGCATATTTAAATCTGGAGAGGGGAGAAGAGTGCTCTCTGTGCAGGTCTATATATAGGGTGGTTTACTTCTTTCAGAAAAACAGGAGGAGCCTGGTTGTTTTTTTTTCCTTTTGTAGCAGGACCCACATTCACACACACACACACACACACACACACACTCACAAACAGTACACCTGGCTGTCCATCAACAACCCAGCCTTTGCCCTTCATCCGACATGCTAAAACTGACCTTGATGATGACCTTGGGGATCGTCAGCACGATGGATTTCTGCTTGGCCAGAACATCCTTGGTCTCGTTGACCCGAGCCGTGACGAAGAAGTGCAGGAACGCCTGCTCCAGCAGCTGGCCCATGTACTCGCCCGCTCTGATCTGCACCTCCTCCCTAGTGACTGGCAGGGGGAGAACAAACAGGCGGCGTCAAGACCGGGGGTGGGACCTGCGTCCCTCTTCCCCGAGGGCCCCGGCTCTCCCGCCTGAGCACAGCCTCCACCGGGGACGCGCAGGTGAGGCGGACGGAGCGGGGTCAGTCAGGGACAGGACGCACTCCCGCTTCTTGGGTCAAGAGCGGATGTGCTGGAAACTGAACGTTCAGGAAAGTCTTTCTAGAGGCAAACGTGTCAAATTTTCCAAACAGTGCTTCTGCTGCTGTAAAATGCAACCTGACAAAGAGGTTTAAAATCAAGGACCTGGGGCTTTTAGCTGCTCTTGGATTTGGGCGGAAACAGTCCCAAGACGGCAGCTGGGGGGCGGTGATGTCCTCGCCACCGTGCTGTGTCCCCTCCTGCGATGAGAAAACACGTCCTGCAGGCCACGGCCATGCTTGAGCAAAGCTATCGACCTCCTTAACCTTTTCCTTGTCTCCTTCGCTCCACACTTTCTTTCCAGCTCTTACCGTACCAATCTGACATGGCTGTTTCTATTTAAGAGAAAGAAGTGGTTGCAGCTGGTTTTCACCGTAGGCACTCAGCTCTTCCCCACCCTCTATCCTATTTGCTACTTAAAGAGCCTCTGTGCCAAACGCTTGTTCCCCCAAGTCACTGATGTTGGCTCTTAGGTGTTGGGGACAGGCCAGTGAGGATGGCATTCGGAAGGAGGGGGTGGTCGTGGCTCCCCTCCGTCCACCAGCGGGGCTGAGGACGGGGCCCCTGTGCTGTGGCTCTGACCGCTGCAGGGAGGGCTGCTTGCAGCGCCCGCTCTCTCGCTTTCGTCTCCCACAGCGCAGGAGTGCAGGCAGCAGGGGGAAGCTCCCCTGCAGACGGAGCTTGGGTCGCAGGGCAGCACCTGGTGCTACCCGCTCAGAGCCACGTGCCAGCGGCAGGCTTGGCAGGGAGACTCACCCCTCCGCCCCCACGCACGGAACTGCACGTCTCCACCACGGCTCTGCCCAATGTCTGCCTTTGGCCAAAAATTCCTCCTCCTATGGAGGTTATTGGAGGAAATGATCCCCATGGTCGATAGTCTAAAGTGCAGAGGGGAGTTAGTTTGAGCTCTCTGTCACTGGCCACCATCCTGTACTGGAGACGGAAGGCCGGGTGGGGTGAGCACCAGGGCGCAGGGCGGCCCCCTGCCTTGGGGGCTCCCAGGCCACAGTGCGTCATGTCGCCCTCACCTGCTTCAAGGTCTCTGTGCGGATGAGCCGGTGCTGTGACCGCCTCTGGTCCTCGGACTGAAGCTTTCTCCGTCTTGGCTCCACCTCACAATCACTTGAGGGCATTTAAGAACTTTCCCAGCTGGATCTCACCCCAGACCTATTAACTCAGAACCTTGGAGGTTAGGGCCCAGGCCTTGATTCAAAAATTCCACAGCTGACTCTTACGTGCAGCGGGGCTGAGAAGCACCGGTCAACAACCAGGGGGACCCCCTCCCCAGAATCAGCCCTGTGAGAGCCTTGGTCCAAGCAGAAGGCACGGCCTGGTGCTGCTCCAGGGTGGTCGGCAGCCCAGCACCACCGACACCTGCCGGCTGGTTAGAGATGCGGCTTCTCGGCCCCCCAGCCCCACCTAGGGAATCAGGGTCTGCGTTGGGCTAGGACGCTCAGGTGATGCATATTCAAGCTTGAGCGGTTCTAGGGGGAGGTGGGGTGTGTTAAGGCAGAACTGGGTGGACTTAGGATGGTCTCAGGTTTGAAACGGAATGCACTCCATTCTGGCAAAATGGAAAGGGTGGTCACCCTAGATCAGTGGTTGCCAGCTGGGTGCAGTTTGGCCTTCCATGCCACCACCCCCACCCAGGGGTGCCTGGAGATAGTTTTGGCTGTCACAGCTGCAGGTGTACTGGCATCTAGTAGGTAGACGCCAGGGATGCTGTTAAACAGCGTACAACGCACAGGACGGGCCCCCACGACAATCATCCAGCCTGAAACGTCCGCGGTGCCAGGGCTGAGAGATGGCCGCCGGCCACACAGAGTTATTAGAATGTATCGGTCCACCCTGGACAAGCAGTAAACAACTCGGGGGGCTTCCTGGGGCAGCCCCATTCCACTGAGAGCCAGCCTTTTGAATTCATGAACTTGCCTTGACCTTGACTCTCGAATTCTGCCTTTCTGAATGACCCACTCATATCACCTTCTTTGGGTCTGAGCCTGGACCCGCTTCCCCCAAGGCCTCCCTAGCAGTGGCTTGTCTAGAAGAGCAAGACTCTATCCCTTGACTGGATGCAACGCCAGAGGAGCACACGGGGCCTGGTTTTCACTTCGCCAGAGGGGGCGGCAAAATGTCAGGCCTGGAAGAACATACCTTTGGCCTCTAGCTGCCACCAGTAATGATGAAAAAATGGACACCCTCTGGCTATTTCTAGAGGACTGTGTTTGACCACTGGGCTCTGCAGGCTGGTGAGATGTGCGTGACGTCTTTCTACCAGCCTTTCCAGAGGCGTTCGCTACCTTGATCCTGTCGGCCTCAGGACTCTTTATTCTCTGAGGCAGAGCATCCTCTCAGTCTTGGCACTAAAGAAACTGGGCTGTGTTTCTGAGCCCAGGAGAACAGTGCTCCTGAAATAGTACATTATGTAAGTGCTGTGCTTTGCCGCTGCACAAGAAATTGTTCTAGATAAAGTTCATTAAACGTGGCAAGAGAAAGAAGAATGGATTTTCATTCTGAGAGTGGGGGGGCTGGGATCCTGCCAGTGCCATTTACGGCGTCTGGGGAAAGCCAGGGGAGACACAGACAGGAGCTGCCTCATCTCTTTCCCCAAATGCAAGGAGAGCTAAACAGAGCCAAGTGGAAATGGTAGCACCTTTGAAGGTACAGGAAGGCTTAAGTTATTCAAATCCTCCGGGCTGATTCCAGCCCACGCTCCCACTTTAATCATCAATCTGGAAAATACGCCTCTTGTTCTACTTGGAAAACCTTTGCAATAAACCCTCCCAGGGATGTGCTCAGACCTACTGGGTCCAGGTCTAGAATCCTGTGGCTTTTGGCAATATATTGCAATTTATTTTAGGTTGTGATATGCAATTTATTGCACACAGTTAATGCCACCCACCTGCAGGTTAAAGCAAGAAACAGTCTTCAATCCCTTTCAAATTATTCAGGACAAGCGTTGGGGGTGGGCTGAGCAGGTGGGCGCCGTGCTAATTCTGAGGCAGGCTTCGGTTTGGTCAGCTGTTCCTACATCGATGACTGCATTGGCTAATATACCACGCCGCTCTAGCCTGCTAACTCACATAAGCTCATTTTCAAAATCAGATTAGAGACAGAAGGGGAAGGAGCGTGAGAGATGGGGCTCTTGTCAGAAAAGGATGGTGTAGGGCTTCCCGTCCAGGGGAGTCAGGGGCAGCTGGACCCCCCGAGGAAGGGAACTGGCCCACTTAGGGCCCAAGGGGACAAGGCATTGGCCCACTGTCCCTGCCTGAATGGGCCTGGCTTCTAGTACCTCCTGCTTTGCCTCTGATTGCTGTGCGTGGCCTTGAACACATCAACAGATTGCTAGTCTCAGTTTCCCAAAGCGCAAACATGTTGGGAGTTAACGTTTACTGAGAACTTACAGGTGGGAAGCCGCTCACGGGCATTACCTCCCTTAGTCTCCTCCACGGCCTCCTCCCCTCCCACCACGCACCCCTCTGTCTGCCGTTGGCGGGCCCCGCATACAGGGCGTACCAGGCCCGGCTGGCTCTCACTGGTTCCCCCAACGCCACCACCGCTGTCCTAACTAGTCTCTGAGCTTCAGCTCCGCTCCCCCTGCGGTCTGGTCTGGGCACAGCAGCCAGAGCGATCTCTCGGAACCCAGGTTGGACTGTGGCGCACGTCTGCTCCGAGCCCTGACGGCGCCGCCGCGCACTCAGAGTCAAAGCCAAGTCCTTCCCAGGGCCCACGGGCCCTTCCCTGGTCTGCGCCCACCGCCTCCCCTTGGCGCCTTTGCTCCTAGCTCTGGCCGCCTTGTTGCCCCCTGAATGCCCCTTGAGCCTGCTGGCCTCAGGGCCTTTGCACTTGCAGGCATTGCCCCCTAGCAGGAGAGCTTCCGCCTTCCTTCCTGGCAGGTTTCTGTTTCAAAAAACAAAAAAACAAAAAAAACAAAAAAACCACAGTGATGTCTTAATTGTCGGCTCCATTGCTGAAGCCAGGGGATTTGCTTCCTTCGAGTCTGAGTAAGTTTCTTGCAATTAGGAGTTTTAGGGATTGTTTCCTGTTTCTCTGCGAACACCTTTGCGAAGCGTCCCTGTGGTTTGGGACAGACGCCGAATCCAGGAAGCCTGAAAGCGCCTGAGCTGTCTGGCCCGGTCACCCCAGGGGGCGCTACAGTCTTGCCGGCCTCTGCTTTAGGAAGATTATTATTCATATAAATTTTAAAATTTCTTTCCACAGGTCAGGTGGACGGATCCGGCGCCCTGAAGTGTTGGCCCTTTCCAACCTGCCCCATCTAACTCGCCGTGCTCGGCCCGGAGGTCAGGCTCTTCTGATGGGCTCATTTTGCTGGCTGAGTGACCAACTGTTGTGTGCACGAAATACTAGTACCCCGGGAAATGCGACTGGCCGAAACTGCAATCCCCAGTGCACACTACAGCATCAACCCCAGGCCTGCTTGAAATACTCTGTTTTTATAGTGAAGAAGATGCTTTGGGAGGGCAGGTAGGAAGGGATCCTGGTGAGACAGAGCCCCCCCTACGGAGACGGCTGCCCGGCAGAGCCCTTCCGAGTCCCCAGTCTCCTCTCCCAGGGGTGGGCTCCCTCTTGACCCTGCGCACCGGACAGGTCACCCTGCAGAGCTCAGACCTCCCTGCCCCTGAATGGTACAGCAAAACATGCCATTCTTGCTGGGCAGCCCCCCAAAAGCCATTTCTACCTTGGGAGGGAGGTACCCCCAGTGGGCCTGCTTTCTGAGACATGAGCTTCACCAACTTTTCTGTGCACACGAGTCCCCTTGGAATCTTGTTCAAATGCAAACTCACGGACATAGAAAACAAACTCTGGCTACCAAAGGGGAAAGGACGGGGGAGGGGTAAGTCTGGAATCTGGGATCAACAAGTACACACTACTACATATCAAACAGATGAGCAACAGGGGCCTACTGTAGAGCCCAGGGAACTGTATGCAATACCTTGCAATAACCTATCGTGAAAAAGAACAGACGTGCGTGAAAGTAATGGAGCCACTTTGTTGCACACCTGAAACTAACACAACATTGTAAGTCAACTCCATGTCAACAAAACTTGAAGAAACACAGATCCTGATTCCACTGGTCTGGGGTGGGTGCCGAGAGCCTGCGTCTCCGACCCGCTCCCAGTGGGTACTGAGGCTTCGGGTCCCCGGCCCACCCTGTAAGTAGCAGGAAGTTAAGTGACATTTAATGTTCACAACTCCTGGGGCTCTAGGCTTTGAAAACCAGTGTTCACTTCTGTGCATGAGCCGTGAAGACACAGGCTGAGGCCTCCTGAGGAGTGGGTTCTCCTGAGCTCAGGGCCAGAATTTAAGCTTTGACAGGAAGTTATTAGCGGGCGTCCACACCAAGCCAGACAGGGAAGCGGGTAACACGTCCTGGAGAGACTGGTCCCCCACTCGGTAACTTACAAGACGAGGGCTCCACTGTCACGTTGAACGTCTCGTTCTTAAATTCCTCCTTGGCGACCCCAGTGTAGAAGGTGATGCTGCCGGAGAGGTAGGCTGTGATGGTGTAGCGGGCATGGCTGTTGTTCCGGAAGGTGACGATGACCTTGAAGTCTCTTCCCAGCACAGCATTCTCCACTTCAAAGTTCATGTGAACATCAGACTTTGACTTGACGACGCCCTCTGTGCTGAGGGGCTTTTTTGCCCCATACATCAGGGCAGTTTCCAGGGCCAGCCTCTCTTCTTCTTGACCTAGGAAAGGTGCAGAGATAAGGACAAAGGAGTGGCATCCACGCGAGCGAAGGCTGTGAGCATCCAGGTGGCAGCAGAGGACCCAGGGCTCCCCATGGGAACTTGGCCTCAGAGCCTTGTGCACGGAAGGCTTGCTAACAGTGTGCTGGATGTGAGAGTACGCAGAGGGGTGCTGCTTGGGAAGGGTGGTCTGTACTCCCTGCCGGGGCTGAACAGCCACAGAGGAAGGCATGGGGGACAGGGTGGCAGCAGGTAGGACAGGCGCATGTGGAAAGAGACATGAGGAAGCAGGTAGCCCGGCCGTGGGGAGGCTTGTAACTTTAAAACCAGGCTTCCCAAACTCCTCTGACACAGAACACATTTCTTTTTGAAGGACACCTTTTGGCCTCTGATGACGTAGTTTGAGATACGTGTGCTATTTTTAGAAAAATGTCTTCTGTAGGGTTTCCCAAGGTGGTGGTGGTGGTGGTGGTGGAGATGAGGAGAGGAAAGCGAGGTCTGGGAGAATCAGAAAGGAGTTTTGTGATACATGCACCCCAGCGTTCACAGCAGCACTACTACAAGAGCCAAGGCATGGAAGCAACTAAATGTCCGTTAACAGATGACTGGATAAAGAAGCTGTGGTGAATATATGCAACGGAATACTACACAGTCATAAAAAAGAATAAAATAATCCCATTTGCACACCATGGATGGACCTGGAGATCATCATTCTAAGTGAAGTACGCCAGAAAGAGAAAGAAAAATACCATATTATCATATGTGGAATCTAAAAAAAAAAGAAAAGAGAAAACACAAATGAACTCATCTACAAAACAGAAAGAGACTCGCAGACATAGTAAACAATCTTATGGTTACTTGGGGGAAAGGGGGTGGGAAGGAATAAATTTGGGAGTTTGAGATTTGCAAATGTTAACTACTGTACATATAAAAATACATAAAAACAAATTTCTTCTGTATAGCACAGGGAACTATATTTAATATCTTGTAATAACCTTTAATG